GAAAAATTAAGGAAACAACACAAAAATATTCACCTCTCAGGTAAGACTTTCCTAATATGAAGCAGGTTGCTTTTCAACCACGCTGATTATAAAGCAACAAATGGATGGTTGTGGCTGGAAGCAGTCACAGCTCATTTAAGGTTTTATTCCAGCAATTATGTTGAGGTACTGAAGAAAAGCATGAGAAGTCTCTGACAAGACAACTGACCTCTAGAACAACAAGCTGAACACAAGAGTTTCTGAACCAGCAGGATATCTGACATGTACTAAAACTGATAAGTATGGTGATAAAGTTAAGACAGCTGGGCCAGAAACCTCATCTTCAAGATACCACTCTGCTTAATCAAATGGTCTGACAGAGTGACAGTTTTAGCTCCATACAAGACAAAAAAAAAGTACTGCAAATTTTTAAAAAAGTGACATAGTGATTATAGTGTATTTTACTGATTTCACAACAGATATCTACAAAGACAATAAACTGTTAGATTTTAAGATTTCACAGCAAATAAAAGTAATGAAGTCTTCTCTAGAAATCGGCCATGTCAGTATAGAATAGCGGGATTGGTGATGAAGAAAAGACAGCAAGCCATTCTGCTAAATCTCAAGGCACTCAATAAACAGACAACAAAACTATGAAGAGAACGCATACACCCATCTAATCACTAAACAGTAATTAACTAAGTCCACGGAGCAGAGCCTTTTTGTAGAAGCTGACACTAGCTCAGATAGTTAAAAAAGAAATCGTGGACCCTGAAGGTTCAACATCGTGTTCACAACAGCCTGTGAACTATACGAAAGAAGCCATAGGGGAGAAGACATTACTAAAATTAACTCAATGCACATGAGTAAGGTAAAGCTGTTCTGCTACATACCATGGAGGTGCATGGAGGGAGAGGTGCAAAAGCTCCTACTCATTCTTGACTTCAGCACTAAATGAGGGTGAGTGGTCATCATCACATCCCAGCCGTGCTCCCCCTCACCCCAGTACCCAATTGATAAGAGGCTGAGTGGGCCCCAGGGCCAGCATGAACACAGAGGCTTAAAGAAAAATTCTTTGCTCTTGTCAGAGATCAAACCCAGGTTGTCCAGTCTGTAGTCAGACATTCACACTAAGCTACCCCAGCTACAATGTGAATGAATATGAGAACATATTATTGAAATTGACCTTACAAGAAAGTGAAATGGGAACTGGATTAAAATGGCTCAGAATAAGTAAGGTCCAATGGCGAGGTTTTGTGCATCTTCAGGTTTAGATCCTGAAGTGATCCAAGTTCATTGAAAATGACCACACAAATGTTAATTAATGCATGAATAAATGAACAGCTGTCATATAAGCTGCTGCAGCTGGTGAGATGAAAGGTAGCTGTGAGAGGCGCAACCTCAATGTCATGACATGCTTAACTCAGGCCACTGCTGTTGTTATAAAAGTGAAAGTGTGCTCTTACAACACACAGCATCATTGGCAAATACCTCGGCAAACAAGGGCAACCACCCTTCATTGTTTTTATTATCTCCACAGAACATTCACCAAGTCATACAAAGGCATTATGCAATACTTCAATGAAGAATAAAAAATAAAAGAACTGTTTTATATATGCCTATAATGTAATGATTTATAAGGTACAACAATTTTGTGAACTCATTCTACTGTAATGTACTATACTGATAGATTTATTAAAACTGAAATCCTGAACAGCACATTCTACTGTAATGCACTATACTGATACATTTATTAAAACTGAAATCCTGAACAGCAGTTTCTTGCTAAAACAACTTTTTGTTCATAAAACAGTGAGTCTATAACTAACAAACTAGCTCCATAGAGCAGAGTCCATGAGAAGAATGTTCACAAAAGCCTGTACTAGTCCCTACCCTGAGCCAGATAAATTAAGTCCACATCTGTAACAATATTTCCCTAAGATCCATTTTAATATCATCCTCCTATCTATGGCTATGTTTCCCAGGTGTTACCTTCCATTCAAGCTTCCCAACCAAAATTCTGTACCCATTTCTCATTGTCCCCATGTGTGCTACATGCTCCACCCATCTCAAGCATGCGTGAAAATAATTTGCATGTGGCACAGTCCTGATACTTCCAAAGGTGACACCACACAACGAAAAACTTCATGATATGGATCCTTTAACACATATTATCAGAACATTAAGAATCAAGGAAGACATGGACAGAACATGTAGCATGCATATAGAGATGAGAAGTTTATACAAAATTTTAGACAGGAAGGTTGAAGGAAAGAAACAGATTGGGAGATGTAGGCACATATGAGAGGATAATATTAAAACTGATCATACAGAAATAAGATGTGAAGATGTGATCTGACTTCAGTGGGACCAGGGCAGGGTCCAATGGTAGGTTCTTCTGAACATGGTAAAGTCATAAGGTTCCATACAAGGTAAAGAATTTCTTCAATGATTATGAGCTACCCACAAAGTTAATCGGCTTGCATATGTGAATTAATACTCATTGTTCATTTGTATTTTCACTTTTATTCTTTTTAGAGTACCATTATTCCTTTCAATTAAAGTGTATTTTACCACTCACTATTTATTAGCTACAACAACATTAACAATTAAGAAATGTTCGAAGCAAAATGAGACATTTATGCAGGCAATCTGAGGCACAAATATCAACTTCTACCTTTGCAGACTAGTTGCTAATCTGATAGGCTGTTAAAATAGAATGCATTATGCTGGGACAAAAGTATACAACAAGCTCTCCCTAGTAAAGTAAATACGAACCCACAATCAGTGAACTAATTAGTGCAGCACTGAAACAACTCCTTTTGATTACCATCTTCTACTATCTTGATGAATTTATATTACTAAAAACAACAGACTGTAATCATGTGCCTGGCTGCAAATTATGTACACATTTTATGTACATATATTAAAATAAACTATATGTTTAGTTTCTCACATACACATTGTAAAGTAAAGGTCTGGAATTTATGTGTATAGTTTACTTGTTATATAAATTTGGTAATAAACATATTTTGAGCATAGCATAGCATAACTTTGACTATTTCTAAATATGCTGTATAACCACCATTTAATTATTAGGGTTGTAATTATGTATGTAATAGGTCTACAGTGATGTAGTTTTGTCTTGGGATATACATAATGGGCCTGGAAGTCATGAACAAATTGAAGATGCAATTATGAAACCACAATGCACAGCAAAAATAAAAAAATCTGTTTAGAAAGACTCATAAATTTCTTTCATGTATGCATCTAATAACACAAATAGGTACAATGTATGGGCTGTTTATGGTTTAATACAGTTTTTTTTTTTCCCTCAAGAACTTTTGGGCCAACCCATACATCCAGGTATCTTATGAATGTTATGTATTGTACTCCATACTGTCCCACATCCTTATGTTAGAAATCAGTGGAATGCATTTACAGTGGGTTCAGGTTGACGTAATAGAATACATTGTCACTTACTTACTTTATAATTTCCATAGAAATAATGTGGTAACCCAAAATATCATTTAAATTGTTCCTACCATGATGTATTTTCTGTCTTACTATGACACTTCTCTAAACAATCTGTTTAATATACCACCTCAATGCCATATCACCTAGTAATTTGATTTAACTGGTGGCCTTCATAAATGTGTTAATACTGACATACATACTTTCATAAATATATCACAAAAGATGCATATATGAGCCATAGTCATCAACAATAATAATTATGTAATCATACACTATTAATCTATTATACCATTATAGTTACATAAGCTAAATGAGTTTACTATGTGTTAGTGACGCCGATGTTTTGAAAGTAATGTATGTCAATAATTAAATGGTTTACAAACTGATATTTACTAATGAATTTTGGAGGGTCTGCCATTAATCACACATTTGGTATCAGATAGGAGGAATAAAGATCTCTACAGTAATTTTGACTACTCTACGAAGACACAAATATAATTACTAAAGGAAAACATACAAAGCTGCGGTCGGGCCATGATTGCTTTAAATTAGGGCACTGCATAAATATTGGCACCCCATGAAAACTTGTAACAAAAATATATTTGCAATCAAACTGGTACAATAACGACTCACCATACTCCCACGGATTTGCTGGTTCTAAATAACCAGTAACCAAATGGCTCTCTTCCTCTGGAAATGAAACTTTGCGGGATTCTCGCTTTTGATTTTCTGAACGGGAACGAAGACACGGCGCTGTTGCTTTCAAGGTCGGTAATGCTTCCGCGGAATTAGGAAGCATTTTCGAATCTTCACTCATAATTTTTAACTTTTAATAATAACATGTGTCCTATAACGGATATGCAAAAACCAAGAAGTTACAGTACACAGCCCACTAAACCTCAAAGCACCCATCCACTACACTTCTCATCAGTCGCCATATTGATTGAAACATATGTTCGTCGACCAAATTATCTTTGCAAGTAGCATCACGGCAACGAGATGAACTACAACAAACAGTAATGAATCTATTGGACAACATAAATAAACGGAATCACTGGCAGATTGCACTAGCAGTTTATAAGCTGCTGCTGCCATCTATAACATAATTGTAGAATTAAGGCGCAAACTTCAAACAAAGTTCTACAATTCTAGCCTCTAAACTGGTACACCATAACTTTTCAGTGGTTCGCAAACTGCGGGATATAATCAAACAAACCATAAACATTCCAGTACTTTATGACTGTGGTCTTCTGGGTTGCAATACCATGTAGTCTCATAGGTGTTTACTGTATCAAAGGAATATATTTACTCCATCTCCAGGGCTAAAGATAATTACCATCTGCAACACTGCAGTGTTATGACCCAAAAGACCACAATCAACACCTTCATTTCCATCAAAACCTAAAATTTCCTCCAGTGTTTATTATTAACAGGACAATGTTAAGATATTTGGATATATGCTCATCCTGCAATGGCTGAGGAAGGATTATAAGGATAAAAGATGGACAGAGAGGCCTTGTGATTAAGAATAAGAAACCAGCACATATACACATACAACATATCAACATTCAGTTATACAGCTACAGATCACCTTCTTACACTACTTATAAAATACTTCATGTATTACACTGAAATATAATTTAATATATTAAATGAACTGGTGCTTGTAACATTTTTGTCTCAATCTGTTCACAAAAAAGAAACAAAAAGTTGTGTGGTATATTTAATATATGTTCAGCCTTGGTTAAAGTAATTTCTCATAAAATACAAAACATTTTGATAGCAATGCAGATTCTGGTTTGATGGTAATAACTAATAAACCACTGGAGCTAGGAATTTGAAATTGTCAATGATGATAGAAACATATTAAAAATGTGTGGTTCTTACAGATACAAATAGAACAATTTATTATACTTTCATCTTGGAAATCACTTTACTCTTTCTGGAACTGATGTCAAAAATATTCATTCATATCACAGTAGGTACTACAATTACAAATAACATTTTACTTACAAAGCATATGTAACAATTTCATAATTAAATACAATTTTCAAAGATTATTCGCTGGAATGTTGGTACGCCGACTGGGTCCAGCCAGAGGCTTGTCCCTTTCATCCCACAGTGTCACACCATCACATGCACAGATTCTCTTAGAGTTCTCAAACATGCCAGCAGAGCGAGCAATGATGCCACATGCCAACCTACAACATTACAAATGAAATAATACTGGCTACAGGTTTTATATTTGTGTGTATAATTTTCACACCCATTCAGAGTGTGCAACACTGGTGAGAGATTGCCAAGAACAGGCTCTGGTCTTAGGGGGTCCTGAGTTTGATTCTCAGCTGAGAGACTATCAATTCAGATTGAAGTTTTTCATGGTTTCACTAAGTTCTGTCAGGCAAATGATAAAATATTACATAAAATAGATCACACCTATCCTCTTCCTTCCATGTCCTATCCAGTTCATCATCACAATCATTCTTCCATCCCAGGCAGTTGAAAAAAGTTATTAAATAAACAAGAATATATTAATTGAAAGATCAGCCAAGATGGTATAGGTTCACTACATTTGGCTTACATATGTAGAATATCACTAACAAGAAACAAACTCCTCAATACCAAAGTAAATACATGCTACCAACCTCTGCCCAGAATTACCATCCTTCAATGACTGTGGGTGGTTCCCACAACCAAGATCATCAGCACCATCTGTCACTACCACTGAACGCCCAATCACATCCCACACTTTGATAACTTTGTCGGTAAGACGAAATGTGGCTCGACCATCTGGACCAGCAGTGATATTACCCAGATCACCAGCATGCTGTAACAATTGATATGAACATAAGACAAAAGTTTGTTCCTCACATAAGAGGTTAAAAGAGGTCTCAAGTGTTATGGCTACTGCAGCTGTCAATATGTTACGGGAAATGAAACACAAATTTAAATTAATGTAACTAATTCATTTATTGGTACTTCTGAATACCAGATGTAACAGATATATAAATATTAGTTGAATGTTAGAACATAATTTGTGAAAACAGGGCATACAACATAAAAGTGGTGCTGACAATGCAGGAATAGAGGCATCTCTTACACATTATCTATAAGTATAAGGGACCTCTAATATCCATAGTTTGCTCTGTTATGGCCCTCCAAAAGAGGAATAAGTTCTGATGGGAACATACTCGTTCATTCTCCTCATCATCTGGGCTCCCATGTCGGGTGTTCCGAGGATTGAAGTGGCCTCCCACGCTAAAAACAATAACAAATAAATTCTATGAATATCTGAGAGCTCTGGTTTTATTTATAAACAGGACAAAAGTGGATTGAAACATAAAGATATGCCCAAGTACATCTTATATGAATATGTTCTTCAGTCACAGGCACATTCCCTATTAACATGGAACATCGCTGTATATACACAGTTCTTTCCATTCTCTATATTTCATTCTGACCCATTTCAGAAAAAGAGGATATAGTTGGATTACATGAAGAAAGTTCAAGTCCCTCAACCTCAATTCAGTGGTGAATACCAAGAAACACACTGACGGCTAACATAAGAAACACACAAATACCTGTCACAACCTTGTGAGATGTCACCTGACTCATGGATATGCAGACCATGAAGGCCTGCACTAAGTCCATCCAGAGTCCCATCCACAATACACATATTCTCATCAGTCTGTAAGAATCTGACAACACCTTTCACTGCACCAAATCCACACCCTGATGCATATCCCAACATGGCAACTGCTGCACCTTGGTTGCCACCTCCTATAATAAACCACATACATATAGCACACATTTACATGTAGCCATACACAGCCAACCTTCCACAAAATGTCACTCAATTTTTAGATCATGGGAATATATAAAAAATACATCAACTCTAACTATTCTAGTAAAACTATTTCTATCTGTCGATAAACATTCTAAATACATGTAAGATTTGAGATTTCACAGCGGTGAGTATGAAGACTGAAATCTTCATTCTAAGTACATAAACTCATGTAAGCAAAAGATGTATAACCAGTTTCATTGTAAAAACATGCCTAGTTCAAGATAACTTATGGGGACAAAAACAGGGTAACACCTGTGCACAAATTGACAAACATGAAATCTTGGTAAAATATTTCTGATTACTAAGCTATAAGTCATGTTGGGATGTAAAAATGTGAAGTCCACATTTTGTATGTCTATGAAAGCTTACCACATCTGATTATAAGCTTACCACACCCGATTATAAGTCTCAGTACACCACTCACACTTCTGCTAGAATGTAAGGAGAAAAATTCTCCACATACAGGTATAATTTCTAAAGTAAACTATCTTACCTCCATATCCCTTAAGTACAGCCCGTCGTCCGGTAGATTCTATTTTCTGTTGTACCTCTGATGAGGGCAGAGATGTCTCTACAATGACAGTTTCCTTTTCCAGTGAAATGTCTATATTTTCAATTCCTTTCACATTATTTAAACTATCTCTGATTTTATTTACGCATTTCTGACATGTCATCTGGACAGCAAATTCAACCTGCAATAAAAATCATAAATAGGTACAGGTTTTAAAAACCCAAAATGTTTCTTAAATTATATTTCACAACTAAAAAAACACTTACCTTAACAAGGACCATTCTTGACGGTATGTTGTGAACTGAAAACGCTATACTTCTTGGGACACCTTAATAGGAGATCCTGAACATGTAAAATAATTTATATTGGCAATTTTTACTCAAATCATACGAATTTGAAAGACATATCGTGTGACAAACTATATTTAAAACTTATGATTAGACTAGTAGCTGCACCGCACAGAAATGCTGACTGCAATATGACACTGCACTTTCGTTCACTGCACAGTGCAGCCGTGGTATTCTTTTAAATATTTTGGTGAAAAGCATTCTTCCTTCAATAATGTTGGCAGAAATGAGAGAACCCAGCGAATTAGTACCACGGACACTAAAAAATCAGGGAGCAGAGATAATTCTATCACAGAACACTTATTATTTCAATTTTCTTTTCGGCTCATACGTATACATGAATCAGGGAGCAGAGATAATTCTATTACAGAGTACTTAACATTCCATCTTCATTTCACTCCGGTCCGTATTCGGTCCATTGCCTCCTCAATTCTCCTCTTCAATTCGGAATCCGTCTGTCTAAGGCTTTGATAAAGGTTTCGAAACATCTTCCTTTTTACGATGCAAGGTTGTTAGCCCTGCGACCAACCACAAACCTGTGCTACTACGCTAGTCAAGATTGAAAGGAAATTACTACTGCCATCTATCATGAAATCAAATCTTACATGAAATTTCTTGAACGAAGAAGCTAGAGTGTTGTCGGTGATTGAACGTATTCCGTATTTAGAGGTTGTTAAACAAAGTACATACAAAAGGGAAAATTTTCAGTGAATAATGTTGAATATCCTTGATTTTGTAAGAAAAATGCTGCGTATGTTACAACGATGAAGGTGCACATTGTCATATATATCTGTGCTTCAAATGATCTGTCACTACTACCCTAGTCAACAGAGTGGGTTTTACAATATTCTGTAGAAGCTGAGTAGCCATCTTTGAATCATTGTATAAAGTTTTCGTTACTTTTGAATTCGAAATCACTATTTGATAATATGAATACAGTAATAGATCCACAGCCAAATACAGAAAGTAACATTTGATCCTATTGTAACGACTTACTCTAAACATTCTGGTTATTGGTAGTATTTGAATGCTGACGTATATACTGAACACACTTTTCGGCTTTTCTGGAATTTTGCGGTAGAGACGAAGAATTGAAATGGTGAGTCCGTTGTGTATGTGTTGCTTTGTGTTGAAACGCGGGATTATTATGGAAATATTGATTACGGGAGAAAGAAGTTTATTATTTTCTGTAATTAAGTTTCCTGTAACCGATTGTAAAGTTCCAGTGTGTGGAATGTGAAGGATGGAAGTATTTGTGGTCGACGTTTCTTTCAGAATCCCGTAATATAATTTGAGAGTAAAATGTTATTATTATTGTTTACATATGTACACTGATTTTATTTGCATAAGTGATCTGTCTTCAAATAATGTGCTATATACCTATGATTGGAGACTGACCAAATTTGTAAAACATATTCTGTCTTTGTAATTATAAGGTTTATTTAACGACGTTGTAAGTAGCTCAGACTGAAAAGCGTAGAATTTTATGATTAGTAAATAATGGATTTGATCGATGAGGAAGGAATCAGTTGATACCTAATTAAGCATCCTGGTATTTGCATGGAAGAATTGAATAAATCCGTGAAATACTCAGGGATAGCTGGTCTTTGGGCCGAGTTTTGTATACGGAACTTCTGAAGCACGAAGTTGGGATGTTAACTACTTAACTGCAATAGTTGTATATGTACTTTTCAGATCTTTCCACACATCACTTTCATGTTACATACTTGAAACTGTGATTGTCTAGGCAGTTTGGAACAGTAAGGATTAAGAATTTGTGATAAAGTGTATTTAATGTTGCTAGGCATTCCTTTTATACTATAGTTATCAAATTTTTGTTTTCAGAATGTGGAACACTTTTCAGGGAAGGGGATTAATTTCCTGGTAACAAAACCTGAAGATTGGACACCATTTCACCATAGCCCACTGCTAAATGCATTTGGGAGTTTGTTCTACATCAGTTTCAGTAAATTCTAGGTTAACTTATATTGGCCATGTATTGTGTCTTAAAATACAGCCAAACTGTACAAGCATTACAGTCAGATACCACTGAACTGTTTATCTGGAATCAAAGTTTGGCAGATACTTCATTTCCAATCCAGAAACACCAATGAGGAATAAATTCAAAATTGAAACATAGTACAAAAATCTGGTAGGCAATAGCACCATCTTTGTCTCCTTTGTGATACGAGGAATCCATATTGGAGAAATTTCTGAACTGGGCTTTGTGATGGGAATATGTAAACATGCTGTATGGGTTAATTCCTTTAATTTTCAAAACCCTACAGTTATTTTCAATTTAAAAACATAGATGGTAGACTTGGTCCAAGAATTTCTTGATCCTGATTGTAACACACCATTGTCAGTACCCTTCAAAGCTGACTGTATAGTAAAGTTCAGTACTTACCTCTCACTTAACTTTCTTTAAGACAAGAGAGATTAATCAAAGCAGATGTCTAGTAGAGTTTCTAAATACTGCAACAACAGCAAGTTAGAATACTCGAGTTGTTATTGTTGTATTAGGAGGAGAGTTGATGTCTCTGTGGAATTGTGGTCGCTGTTCATTGTTCAGCCCCCAAATGATACGTAAATGAATATGGAATAGTAGTGAAATGACAGTAGTGATAATGATATTGGAAAACTGAAGAACTTGGAGAGAAACGTGTCCCAGTGCAACTTTGTCCATCACAGATCCCACATTGACTGCCCTAGGTGTGAACCTGGTCTTCCATGGTGAGAAGCCAGCAACAAACCGCCTGAGATTTGGCATGGCCTGCTTGTTGACTTATGGAATGTTTGAATTTTGTATTTTCATGTCGTCCTTTCTTTTCTTTTTCAGATTTTCTCCAAATATTGAGGTTGTGAAGTGCAGTGACAGTCCTTCAAAATGGAGAGGCGAAAAGTGTGCCTCTTCTGTAACCGGGATGAGAACAATGAATTGCTGTTTGGGAAGATTTATGAGCTAGATGACATAGTGACACATTACTATTGTCTTGTACGTTGAGTAATGGATCAGATATCTAATTTGATTTGGTTACTTTTTAATCTAGGGGTTGCCAAAATACAATCCAGTAAGTTGTGGTTGTGAACACTTAAACCCGTTTTTGAGGGGATTAGAATTTCAGAAATATACGTAAATGTTTGAAGTGTTCTTCCCACGCTTTGTGCAAACTGTTTTGGCTCTCACAGTCTTTTTGGATATTTAAGGTTATGGTAGGTTGATGTTTCATTTTACAGCTCTTGTCTTCAAACATGGAGCAGAATGGTGAAGATGATGATGGCATCTTGGGTTTTCTGAAAGAGGACATTATAAAGGAATACAAGAGGGGGCGGCGCCTGGTAAGTGAAGTTGCGTATGAGGGTTTAGAACTCCATGTTAAATGTAGAGAAAAGTCTGTACCACAATGCCTCTCAAGTTTATAAACCTAGATTAAATTTGGTCATGATAGAAACAGTTTACAAGGTACCAAAAAAATGATTACAAAAGTTATTACTTGTCTCGGCAAGTATGCCAAAACAGTTTACAAGGTAACAAAAAAATGATTACAATAGTTATTACTTGTCTCGGCAAGTATGCCTCATAGCTGGCGTAGATTATATTGTGTAGAGATGTGTTCAGACCAATACATTGTCAACTGCTTAATTTATGGGGCACAAAGTAAAAGATGTTTGTAAAATTAATGGCCCTTCAGGTGCTTTTGGCAGTCTTTTGATAATGGTAAAGATGACAGGCAGTAATAGTGATAGTGGATGTAGTGAAACGTGTTTTAAAAGTGTTCTTAATCAGCTTTACAATCGTAAAGTAAGGCAGAAGTATGATGGATGAATTAAAGAAGCTGCAATACAGAGAATCTAAAGCAGCAAAAGATAGTTGCCGCAGGGCATTAGCGATGCCCGTGAAAAGGTAGCATGCAAATTGTGGTTGGTGATGTATCAGGTGGGATGTATCATGTTTCCGTTTCAGATTTGCTGGTACTGCAAGAGATCTGGAGCAACGTTGGGCTGTTGTGTAGCCAAGTGTAAAAAGGTGTTCCACTTGCCCTGTGGACACCAGGAAGGATCCTTGCATCAGTTCTTCGGACAGTTCAAGTAATAAAATTTCACGTTCCGAAACAATTTATTTAATAAACTAAATAGCTCTCTTTGCATTTGCTGAAACTTTTTTTTTTTTTTAAAAAAAAGAGTTGATTTCTCAGTGAGGTTTAGTATTATGTTTGCTTGGAGTTTGTTGTCCATGCCCAGAATGAACGCAATTATTTTTCTTAGCATGTTTCTGTAGTTAATTTTTGGTCATTCCCGCATATTCATGCAGCGACCTATCCAGTGGGTTTTTGGGGCACTTTTCTCTCTCCACGCTGTTTATGTGAAACACAGTAATGAAGTACCAGAATACTGCCGAGGACTGAGACATCGTATGTGGTTGTAGCAAGAAAGTCCCGTAGGGAACTGACGTGACTGTGGGAGGTCTGGCCTGGCTTTGGGGATAATTGTTGGTTTGGTAATGTACGCACATAAAATATGGTTACTTGGATTTTACAGACTACAGCCGGGTAGTTGTAATGCAACCCAAGAAAGTTGAATAGAAACAGCTCGTCCATATTCATAGAAACAATCCTAAGATATACTTACCAGGAAACTAGTAGTTAATTATGTGACATTCACTCCTTAATGAACTTAAATTAGCCTTTTACGGATCCTGTCTAAACTACAGTTGTAATTATATACTAGCAGTTTGAACGATCAGAATATTGTTTGCAGGGGCTCTAAAGATCAAAGGCCAAATTTCCCCTAATCTGCATATTTTTGCAGATTGATTGATTGATGTGCTTTCCTGCAGGTCGTACTGTGTTGTGCATAGACCAGTCCAGAAGATTGACCCTCAGGTAATGATGGAAGTCAAGACCAGAGAAGCTACTTGTACCATATGCTATGATAATGTTCAACCCACGAACTGCCATTCAACTTTGTGGGCTCCTTGCTGTCGCATAAATGCGTGGTTCCACAGAGACTGCATACAGAAGCTAGCGATGAGTGCTGGATATTTCTTTAAATGTCCCCTGTGTAATAACAAGACTACGTTTCAGAAGGCCATGTTGGACTTTGGTATTTATATTCCAGAGCAAGATGCTTCTTGGGAATTAGTGCCAAATGCCTTCCAGGAACTTTTGCATCGGCATGATTGTTGCGATGCCAGACAGTGTCTCTGCCCAAAGGGACGTTTTCAGGCATGATTGTTGCGACGCCAGGCAGTGTCTCTGCCCAAAGGGACGTTTTCACTCAACGGTTGGAACTCGCTGGGAGCTCGTACTCTGTAGGTATTGTGGTTCGCAGGGCATTCATGTCGGTTGTGGTTCGTTAAAGTGGTCAAACCCCGAGTGGCAGTGTGAGGAATGTAATACGATGCTTAAGCAGGCACAGGAGCAGGGTGATACAGATGAGGAGGATGAAGCTGACCCAACACCTAACAGAATCACTGAATCTCCTCCCCGGCGAAAACGGCGGTATAATGGCAAGTCTGGGGTGTCACAGAGGCCACAATGTCATAATGATATAGTCTCTGCTCCATCGTCAGATGTTTCCACTTCATCATCCCAGAGTCCAGGAACACCCGAAAGTAATTCGTTGGCAACTGCAGTCATAGAGGTTAGTGATGATGATGTTATAGAAATCTTTGATGATGATGATGATGATGATGATCTTCCAGTAAAAAGGACCTCACAAGATAACCGTAACATGATTGTATCCTCTGATGGTGTAGCTATACCCGTGATCAAGGTAGAAAGCATTCCATCTGCTAAGGAGGGACAGAATTTCTGTGTGGTGGGTGGTTTGAATGTGAAGGTACCTGGTGCGGTAAAAAATACAATGCGAAATAGAGCTCAGCATCCTTCAGTGTCACAAGTAATTACTTTAAATACAAGAGGGGAAGCATCTAGATCTGCCAGCATTTTGGGAGCCAACTCCTCTGGTTTGTCAGTTGAAGGCAGCAAGCCCTTGAATTCTACCTCAGCTGTCAATAACAGCAATCAGTCATCTGGTTCTGCTCCGACCACTAGAGGAATCTGTCTGTTGAAGTCTTACCTAATGTCTGAGGGCGTGCAGAGAGGGTATCCACACACTGACAAAGTTTCAGCTGTAATGCAGCAGGCCAATAGCCAGGTGAGTTTCAGAAATTTTTATATTACGTTGTAGCCCGGTAGAACTCGGAGCCCTCCTACGTATCGCACGAACTGTCCTGTTGCTCTAACTTCATTGAGCAGAATCTTTCTTGAGAAGCTAGTAATACTGTCAGTAATGTAAATGTAATCCAACATCTTGGACATCATTCTAAAATAAAGATGCAGTTTGTTCGTGAGAATTAAAATGAAGTCTGCAAATATGTGAATGTGATAAATATGCTGCAGTCTTTATTGTTATAGATTTCCCATTGAAATTTCACCAGTACTTGTTAGTTCTTTATTATGAAACAAGTCATGTTTTGAATGCACCCTGTGAGTGTAGAGATGTGATTTGACTACACAGGGCTCTCTTCTGTTTCTCTCTTCTCTACAGTGTGTTTCTTCCCATCCCAACAGCCTCTGGCCAGAACCACTTCAGTACTTGGTGAAAGAAAGTGCGATCAAAACCCAGACGGCTTCTCCGGTATACAGCACAGTGGAACCAGAACATCGCCCTATAATGCAGCAGTTGCATCCTCAAGCCGGACTTGTGATCGACCTTACAGAGTCAGGTGAGAATTGCTTTCGTAAGGTAGAAGGAAATCTCTAACGTATACTCGGCCAATATGTTATAATGCTGGGATAATATGATAAGAGTTTCTGAACGCTGTGAAGACTTGTATCTACCTATAAGTCCACACAGCGTTACTACTACAAGATCAACCCTGGGGTAATACCTCGTCTTTCTGATACAGCCTTCGCAACCGTCACACCATTTCTCTTCTTGTGTGATGAAGTGTGTTTGGTACAGCATCATAAATAAATCAGGAAAAAACCAACTTTGTTGTCAATTTAATTTCAGATATGACCGACACCAGAACAGGAACAGTGTTGCAACTGACTTACGGGCGCAGCGAGAGTCCCGACATAGTGTTCCTCGAGTAATTCGTAGTGACTTTGTACATAACGACTTCCAGTTCAGAGTTTCGGGTCCCAACACATTACAGGTGAAGTCGCTTTGTCAGAATTTGTGAGAATTCTGATTGGCTTAGTGTAAGATTATCTTAGGTTCTGAATAGCATTTTTTTTAAGGGGTTATTTTGCTAATGTTTTGGAGAAGTTGGTTGTCTCTGTTTTTACCTTGAATGTGGAGATTTTGGGAAACCAGCCCGTGGCATCCTTATACTAATATTGTGTTGGACGTGTTTGTCATATGACGTACATTTGAGAGGGACATTGGTTTACAGGTAGAACCAAAGATGCTTGAAGAAATTTTCCAAACTATGCACCTCTTTATACAACTTCTGAGACCATTGTAAGTGTTCTATGAAACGTGGGAAACTGATTGTTAGCATGTCATTTAAATTTTGCAGGTGGTGTTCTTCAATCGTTATGTTGTAAGTTTTGATCTTCAGCTTCCCAGGATGTCAAGGCCACCTCGAAAAACTCGGAATCGATCTGCGTCATCTCTGCAGAATGGAGCCACAGCCATTTCTAACAATAACGATTACTCGCGAGATTCTCGTTGAGAAATTCAGCGCAGTCAACAAGGTATTGTGAGAGGGAAGCTAGTATACAATCTTCTTTACACTGTCTTACTCATGTTTCCAATAGAAGTGACGGTGCTTCACATGATTCTTCCGTGTCAGAAAAGTCATTTGACGATGTCAGGTTAGTTGAGAGGAACAGGGCATCCAGCATTTGTCAAACATAAACAGAAGAAAAGTTCAAGCTCCTTGCATATCGTTCGAATAAGTGCAGCGGATTGTAACAGCAAGAGAAGCGGAAGCACTGAGGGCAATGATGCAAATATGTTCATGTTTCGTTGATTCCTTTGCAGGTTTGAAGCCACAATTTCCAGTATATAGACTAGAAGTCAGGAAAACTAGCAGTGGCTGGGGGTTCGTCGTGCTGACCACACGTCACCCTGTATCTGGTTGGATGATCGTTCACCTCTGCTTAGGCATGTGAACGTGAGGCCAGCAGTCAAGCTAGTCGGCTCTGGCTCTCTGGAGCTGTTATGCCACAGATTTGATTTTAATTTTATAGGTTAATAGCAATTTTTAACCAGGTCAGGTAGGTTGGTCTTGATAAAGACTTCTTCGTCCATGTGAATGATGAAACACTTTTCCATTCCTTCTCTGCTAGCTGAGAGACATTTAATCTGTACATTTGTAATTCATGTTCGCAAGTAATTGTAAAAAAAAAATCTGCCTATTTGCTCCATCATGTTTCTCTTTCCAGTTGTTAACAACTTGAGAAATGGTGAACGGATTTCTTCAGATGTTGAAATCGGGGAGTTTTACTGAAAGTTATCAACGCCGACTTTTTTTAAAACTCAAACAACACTTACATGAAGACTCCACATGATGTCAGCTGCCATGCCCCAGACACCCTACTTACGCAGTGGTGGAATGTAACATTCCTGACATCACTGGCAGTATTGACGGATGTCACGGGTCATATTTTGGCAGAACAGAGAGCTTCCTGCTTATGGCACGTATTGGTAGGTAGTAGTTAGAACTATTCCTCGTATGATTGCTATGAAAATGTCACTTCTTGTTAGTGAAGTTTCATTAAATTTAATGAAGTGCAGTCTTAAAGTAAGTTTAAGAGGCGGGTATGAATCTTGAACTGAAGCACTGAATCTCCTATATGTGTAATACAGTTGTACCACAAGTAAACATTTCATACATATTCACCATGAAAACTGATGTACTTAGCATACGGTGATGTTTTTCATGTCTTTGGAAGGCAGTAATTGTTCAAACTGTAATTTCACTGCAGTTTTCCCATCTTTAAAGACTGCGGCCTCAGATTTTGCCCGTGCTAATAACAGACGACACCAAGGGAAGGACACAAGAGTACGACTGATATAGCTTGGGTAGTCAGAATAAATTCTTTACAAGTTGCCGTACAATGATGTATAACGCACATCATCTATTCAGTGAATCACTTCAAGAAAAGGGCAGTCCTGCATGCTTGCTTTCCATTGCCCATCCGTATTATTTTATAAGACTGCATACAAGATTACATCTTGGGAATTGTGTGATTTGGCTTTAATGTGTGAAATAATACACGCGTACAGTTCCATTTGTAATTTTAAACATTCTGTCTGGGAGAGAAACTGTTCATGCATTTAGTAGTCATAGCTTATTTTGAGTTGATGTTCATTTTATGATTGTGAACCCTTCAGTAGTGCCAGCCTCCAAACATGATAACAGATGTCAGTTTTGTCATGTCTTCATCTGTGTGTGGTACAGAGCAGTGATGTGGGGATTAAATCTGCTGTGTCCACGGTAGGACACCATTTAAATGGCTTCCTTTACTGGAGGGTTAATGTTTTGTTCCTGAAGTAAAGTTTATTTACATGTTGAGGGGAACTTGCAGCCCTTCTGAACCTGCACTGACAAGGAAATTTGCTGTTTCGAGGCATTAATAATTATCTATTTTACTCTCTGCAGTAAGTTATTTTAGAAGAAACTTGGTTGTGAATTGAACTTCCGGATTTTATCTGCTTCCTCGAAAAGGGCGTGTTGTTACAAACAGACCTGATATTAAAATGTCAATATTTTATAAAAGAACATGTGGCACTACACGTCATTGCACTTGCTTCTAACTTTCTGTTGGTGTCAGCTTTTTGTGTTTATTTCTTGTAACTTCACAATATAAATAATGTCGTGGTACCTCACGAAATGCAGTGTGATGAACAAGGCCTGTTGCAATGGCTGTGCAGTTTTTCTGACATTTACCAGCGATAACAGTTCACTTATGAAGTGCAGTCATTTGAATGGCTTTATGAGTTATTAGTTTGAATGAAACTCGTGAATGACAGTCAGAAGGAAACTTTTTGAGGAACCCAGAAAGCAGTACCTTTAATGTTCCGTTATGTCGTGTCTGTATTTTACAAATGACGATTTAAGTAGATTGAAAACTCATTTCATTTGTCATTACTTATTGTGTAGCGAGAACTAAATAAATTATTTTGTACAAGGCAATGGCATTTATGAGACTTACTTTACTAATGATTTTTCCATTTTCTTTCCCAAAATTACGTTGTCCTCGTCTGAATATGTAGACTCGTGTTTAGGAACTGACTAGTTCAAATCCTGGATGTGCTGCTACAGGCTGTCTCAGGCAAATTCTAGGATATTTCCTTCAAAATCCTTATCTACAAACCATTCATGATCTTCCAGTCCCATATGCCTTTTGTAACTCTTGTAGTAGTAATGGCATTAACCTATGAATAACTTTGCATATTTAATGATTTGTGTTAATGTCACGCATAGTTTCCGAGGGGGGAGGTTTATTTTTAATTGTGGTCTTCTGGGCAAGTCACAACATCGGTAACCATTTAATGGGCTGTACGGCAACTGCCGAGGATGGAAAGATCAACCTTCCTAACAACTGCAAATACTAGACTGGGACAAAGTCGAAGTAATATTAACTTCATGGGGTAGAATCCTTGGAAAGCCGACGGCACGCTCGGCTAGTCTCGCGCTGTCTCTTATGGAACTCTGGTTCATTACTGTATTGTCCAATCACACTAATAATTTGTTTATAAATCAGAACTTCTTTTATTATGGAACATTATAAATTGGGTGAGGGAAGACAGTGTACATGAAATGACAATTTTCATTCAGTTTCCTCTGCCAACTCTTCCTCCTCCTCAAACTCAACATCGTCCTCAGCTGTTGCTTCCTGGAAGGAAAGAAAAAAAAAACATTGTCATAAGGTCCATGTGTCAGAATTTATTGTATCTGCCCTATTAAATGTGCCCAGCCACCCCAATTTTTAAAGTTTACAGTGAGGGGAAAACAATTTTTTACACTAGTTAGCGTATTCATGTAAATACAGTAAATCGTGAAAACAAAGTAGTCTGAAATATCTGGATCAAAATTAGGATGGAAATTGCACAGTTCATAACTGCGTCACTGGCATAATCAAGTCGAAGCAGTCATGATGGGCTAAACGTAACATGAAATTTTTGTTGAAGGTTGTTTTGTACCTGATACTGCTGATATTCAGATACGAGATCATTCATGTTTGACTCTGCTTCTGTAAACTCCATCTCGTCCATCCCCTCTCCTGTGTACCAGTGTAAGAATGCTTTGCGCCGGAACATCGCCGTAAACTGCTCAGAGATGCGTTTGAAAATCTCCTGAATTGCGGTCGTGTTACCAATGAATGTTGCCGACATCTTAAGACCACGCGGCGGAATATCACACACTGCAACCTTGACGTTATTTGGAATCCACTCCACAAAGTAACTGGAAAGAGGTAAGAGGAAGACTGAGAAACAGTTTCAGCAAATTTTGGTTGGAAAGCCTGGAGGAAAGAGATCATTCAGAAAACCTGGGCATAGATGGGAAAATACTATTAAAATGGATCTTACCTGGGGGGGGGGGGGGGTTGAATTCATTTAGCTCAGGATATAGAATGGCAGATTTTTGTGCACAATAGAAATAAAACTTTGCATTCCATTGGGGGGGGTTGTGGTGTTTTGAATAGGTAAGCAACTATGAGCTTCCCATAAAGGTCTCTGCTCAATGATGGAGTTAGTAAGCATCACAGTTGACTGTCATGTGCTTGTACATCACTGTTAAGTTGTGGAAGAGATGAAATTTAATTATGCATTCCATGTTTTTGGTGAACGTTCTTAATATTTCACTTTTGTTTGAACAAAATTAGAAACTTCAGTTTCTGTTTACCTGGAATTCTTATTTTGAACGTTGAGCATCTGTTCATCAACCTCCTTCATGGACATCATGCCCCTGAAGATCGCCGCTACCGTGAGGTAACGTCCGTGCCGGGGATCACACGCCGCCATCATATTCTTTGCGTCAAACATCTGCAATGCACGGTATGGTAAGAGTTATGGCTCGCTTTCAGCGATATCAAATTAATAATTTCTGGGTAAAGTTCCTTCCATTCAAGATCTTCCTCAGTATTTATTTATTTATTTCACCCAACAAAAAATTAAATTGTTCACACAGCAGTGTGACAGGAACTTTGAAATGCCAGCGTCAGAGATTTAGGGCGGCGAGAGACCTTCAGGTTCCATAACAGCGAATTTATTGATGCACGGAGTATCCTGTGGGTGGGGCAAGTGGCACGTGTGGAAAATATAAGAAAAATGCGCTAAATTTTGACTTTTAACCTGAATGGAAGAGACCACTTGGGGATACCCCAAGCATAGATGGGAGAATAATATTAAAATGTATTTAAAAGAAACGTGGTATTGGGAGTGGATTAATATGGCTTAGGATAAGATCCAGTGGCTGGATCTTGTGAATACAGTAATGATACTTAGGTTCTATAAAAGTCTGGGAATTTCTTGGCTAAATGATATCTGTTGTTGGTTCGTAAGACTGTGCTCCACGGAGTTAGCTATAAATTCTTGGGTAATACAAAGATGCTGTTTAAACTGTAGTTTATTTAGCTCTTAAAAAGATATAAAGTGCGTGGCTGATTCAAAAGCACTTTGTCTCAGAATTCAGTTTCAAACAGGAGAGCAGAGAACAGATAAGAACGAGACACAATTACAAACCTGCTGCGTGAGTTCTGGCACTGTGAGAGCACGATATTGCTGGCTCCCTCTAGCTGTGAGCGGGGCAAACCCAGGCATGAAGAAATGCAAACGTGGGAAAGGCACCATATTCACGGCTAGTTTGCGGAGATCGGCATTCAACTGGCCTGGGAACCTGAGGCACGTTGTCACACCCGACATCGTGATCTGCAGGAAATTAAAACAGTTTTTTGTTGCGGATGGACTTGACTGCGCTGTACCAAGTTTGTTTAAATTATACGGGAACATCTCGAGTGGCGTGTTAGATAGGGATTTGGAAGGAGATAGCCACTGCGTATTTGGACGTACTTTTCCGATAATATGGGGGCAGCAGTGGAATGATATTGGCAGGAAAAATCTACTCTGACAAAAACCGGTCACACAACCACAATTCTAAAATATCTTTCAGATGTGCTTTGACTTAAAAAGGCTAATAAAATTTGGTAAAGAATACGAATTAAATCGCCATATCAGTATCATTATTCTCCGAAATAAGTAAAATGCGAATAAGTTCGTAATCCCAATTTCTAACAAGGATACGCCTTCAAACAAGATGAATAACTCCAGCAAATTTAAATCATATTAATTTATGAACCACATCGAGAGACAGCTCCTACCTCGTGTTCCAGCACATGTCTGTTCGTCTTTGTTATATAAATTACCCTTTTACTCAATGGTAAGCCTTTCCGCCGTTCACTACTCACAGACACCAGCTCATTGAGATCCCTATATGACGGACTGTCGAGGCGCAGAGTCTGGGAGCAGATACGATACAGAGCCTCGTTGTCGATGCAGTAAGTTCCGCCACTGTTCTCCACCAACTGATGTGTTGAAAGCACGGCATTATAAGGTTCCAAGACCACTTCAGACACCTGAAACAGTCGCATAGCGTTGTATGCTACCCCCTCCCCTACTTACTGAGACGAGATGATTCAAATCTCCATAGGTGGGCGAGGTGAGCTTGAGTGTGCGGAAGCAGATGTCATACAGAGCCTCGTTGTCTATGCAGAACGTCTCGTCGGTGTTCTCTACCAACTGGTGCACCGACAGCGTGGCGTTATACGGCTCTACCACCGTGTCCGACACCTGCAAGCATACGCCACACAACTTGCCAACCCAGCAACAAACAAGCAAGCAAACAAACAAGTAAGCAGATCACACAGTAAGCTGAGCAGTGGTTCGCTGTATCATCGCCAGGTGCAGTCTTGCATTACTCGGTACAAGAATTTTTTTTTTTAAAAAAAAGGTTTGTTCCAAAAACAAAGAAACTTCCAGTCGACATCATAAAACCATTTATTTGGCTCGTCTGACGACATAGTAAAATGCTTTTCCTCACTTGATAAATACTCATTTGGCCACGGATTTACTGTTGTCGATCCAGACTGTTCCTGTTGTTTACAAATAAGTGATAAATTTTCTTCTGTGTGTAGATCTATTTGTAACTTATTATTACGTTAGGTGAACCCATAGTTTATGAATTGTACTTTATAATAAAATATGCATGTATCTCCGTTACCACACGAGAAACTTTAGCAGTGGATACGATCCTAAGCCTCAATTACAATCATAACCTAATTAAGTTAGATCCATTTTAATATTATCCTCCCATCTACAAGTTAATGTGGCAAATTATCACTTATCATGGCATATCTGAACTAAAATTGTAAAGTCACACATTTCTCATTTTTGCACGTTCTGTGCTATTACGCGTGGATTGACGCCGATGTTCAAGTTCTGGATTCAATATTTTACGATATTCACGGCAAAATTTTATACGCAATGTCAGATCACTTTAAATATTTTAATTAATACTTATGGAAATGACTCGTCCTCCCACCACCTTGCTTAGCGGAAGCACGAGTATCACGATCGAGCGAACATTCACAAAAGCCACGCCCACGCACTAGCGCAGAAACTGCGAAGACATGACAGAAGAATTTACGCGAAGCAATTAGTTCTGCAGCGACGGATGACCATCAAGTGGCCAGAGGGGTATGTCGTGATACTGAAAAACAATGCGTTTCAAGTTTTCTTAGCGTTTCAAAACCCAGCGGTAACTCTTGCATTTTGTGTTAGAGGGTTTTGTAAGATTTTCAATGTAAACAGTGACAATTTCCTTAAATGGCGTTAACAAGTCGATCTTTGTAATGGTGACGAGTCGCGTTTTCTTTGCGGCATGGACCGAATTCTCAGATCGTATTTAGCTTCAGCTTTAAAGCGTTAATTTCTGTGACACTTACCTTTGGAGAAGGCACTACACTGAAAGTGTTCATGATTCTGTCGGGGTACTCCTCTCGTATCTTGGATATGAGCAGGGTCCCCATCCCGGAGCCTGTGCCCCCACCCAGCGAGTGGGCCAGCTGGAAGCCCTGCAAGCAGTCGCATCCCTCGGCCTCCTTACGCAGAACATCCAGCACAGAATCCACTAGCTCAGCTCCCTCCGTGTAATGGCCCTTTGCCCAGTTGTTCCCTGTCGATACCACACAAAACTGTCGTCAATCTTTTTTTGTGTTACGGAAGTCATTGGTTCGAACACCAGACCACAGACTCACTTTACCGATTGATACATTTGGGTTTCCCCCCCGTCTTTCCCAGTAAATGCCAGGGTAATATCTTAAAATATGCTACGGCCACTTCAATGGCTCGGAATCACGGGATGTGGCGTCAAGTTTTGCCACCAGAGAGTAAGAAGCTGAAACCTTTCTTTAGAATCAAAATAAAATTGACAGACAAAATCACCACACCCTGTATCAGTTCCACAAGGCTCTCTTTCGAAGCAATGCACTTATGCCATCTGAGAGTTGCGTGATCTTTAAACAGAATCAGCGTTTCCTCCGCTGAACCTCTGTAAGAAGCTGTAAGGGAACAACCCACCTGCTCCGCTCTGTCCGAACACGTAGTTGTCCGGTCTGAACAGCTGTCCGAACGGTCCCGAACGCACTGAATCCATGGTCCCGGGTTCAAGATCCACCAGAATTGCTCGAGGTACATATCTACCACCTGCAAAACAATAAAAACATAATTACCTCAGAGCACACTTTTGTTAATGCGATATTAGTTCCGTGTCTCACATTCCTTATTAATCGTTTTGATTATAGCGTATGAACTTCCTGATGTGGCCTTGTGATCGATCAAAATAGAACAAGTTCTACGATGACACACCTCAGTAATTAGCTCTAAATAAAACAGGATCACGACCTTCCTGGAACCATTCAGTGACGCAGGACCTCAATATTAATAATTCCGTGAACTGCTCTCTATTACGTAATAATGGACATAAATATCAATAGATCCAACATGGATGTCGTTAAACATAAGCTTGCACCTATAAATCTGTTGGGAACGTTTATTTACTTGAATATGTGTTCAATCTGCTGTAATTAATTTCTTAAAGGAATTCAAAATAAGAAACATTAAAAACTACCAGCAGAAAATGAGATTGCATTGTAGCGATAAACAGTATAAATGGGCCTCCTTTCCACACATTGTTAAGATCGCTAGAATTATTGTAGCACGTAGTTTTTTCGAAGCTACAATACGAAAGTATCGTTCAAAACAATGCATATTTTTGAAGAAGAAAAAAATAACCCAAAGGATATTTACTGACGTGTACAACAAAAGTGACACACATTTTCCCCGGATCTTACATTGTACAGCCAGGACGTAAGTTCAAAGTACGATGCATTGAACAAACACGCGATCCCGCAATAACAATGAAAGATCACGTTACTCCCAGTTCATTGTGACTACGGGGCATTCTGTACACGCCCCACCTACTTTTACAATCAATAACTGCATTTCTTATTCGCGAGTTTTGTATGATTTTCACCGTAAGCAGCGATAATTTCCTTAAACATCGTTAACCAGTTGATCTGTGTAATGGTGAAGTGTCGTGTTTTCTTCGCGGTAGGGCCTCAATTCTTAAATACTGTTTAGACAAGCTTCAGACGGTTACAGATAATTCACACGAGAACGCCAACGTAAATTGAGATGAAGATTGTAGCTTGCGAAAATTATCACGGCGATGAGGGTTTTTTTATTTTTAAAACAATTACCGTCTATTGTGACGTCAGCGATGATACATGGCGTACTAACTGTTTAACTAAACATAACGTGTGGACACTTCATTCGTAGAATGTACAGATTTCAATGCAGTGTCGGACAGAGTTCTTAATTTTCATGATGTACGGTTAGTCGTAAAGATAATATAAATTATTCATTCTCTACAATATTCTGAAGTTGTCAAACATTTCTTGTCTTTCGTTCACGGCTTATTTTACGAAGATTCGTGAAATCGTATCCAAGGTAAATAAATGAGACGAATACAAACGCTCTCAGTTCGCACTGAGCACAGTAAGCAATTGCACGTTTCGAAACTGAACTGACGTAATAGCCTTATCCAGTCTTGTTGTCCGATATAAATACTGTCCTGAAAACATTCGCTCCGACCCTCAGAACCGACACATCCTGATGTTTTTAGGAAAGGCACGAGTCTGGACGGTTTTATAAATATCGTCTGACTGAAAAACCGTTGTGGAGCCCCGGTGACCCGGTTTCTGCTCCACAATGAGACACGTGAGGTCTCCCGTCACGCACACAAAGACAGTCGTTCCGTGCAACAGTGGCATAGCTCCTGGAGGACACTCATTGTGTCAATGCGGTTTCTGAAGACGAGAGTTTGTATTTCAAAAGCTCCCTCGTCATCTAGCGTTAAACAAAGTCTTCACGAACGTGGTGTTGACGACCGAGTCATTACATCCAGTGCGGGCACTGATATTACGTGTTTTCACGAGGCGGAGTCGTGAATATGCGACCATTTGGAAAGAATTCAGACCCCCTACGAATCAAACGTATTCCTTAACCTGTGGTTCCACGGCCATCTTCTAAGAGCCTTTCTTATTCTGCCATTTTGTTTATAACCTTGTAGTACAACGATATCTCTCTCTCTCGCGCGGCTTCCTGATTAGATAACGGCCAGCTTTCCTGTTAATGGGGCGTCTTGTGACTTCTGAACGACATCCTCTCTTGTTGCGTGGACATTACAATCCACTGTTCTTAATCTGAGGTACCTTTCGCTGTTTGGCGCGTTCCTACTAACAAAATCCCCCGCCCTTTATGCAATCCGATTGCAGTTTTTACAACGATCCATGTACTGGGCCAGATAAGGCTACTCCAAACTCTCTCAAACTTTAATATTATCATCCTATCTTAGTTTAGATCTCCCAAGTGATTCTTTCCTTCATATTTCCGATAAAAATGTCGTTTTTATCATCTACAAAATGCTCCATTAAATCATAAAAGGTTCATGTGAAGTTCTTCAATGGAGAACAACCAATAGTCCGCTTCTTCAGAATGTCGATATTTCAACTTCTTCCAACAGAATTACAGTCCCTGCAGGCGAAGGCCGTGCCTTAGACTTACAAAAGAGGTCGATCAACTCGCTACTGGTCCCTGACGAAAGCCAGTATAACCCAGTCCTCAACCTCACAACTCTATAAATAATAACAACTGAAACTCACGGGCCGCCTCATTGTAATACACGTCTATCCTCTCGAGTTGAAGGTCGTTGTCTCCGTGGTAGATGCCTGTGGGGTCGATCCCGTGCTCGTCCGAGATGATCTCCCAGAACTGAAACAGTCAACAGCGATTGTTATCAGGGATTTGTAGAAAGTCGAGCGTCAAGTCTGAAGTTCGTGTGTCTTCCAAAACCTGTTTTTCATGCCACACTGCATTCGCTGAAAATACAAACCCTTTGTTGAATGTCCAAAAACCTGAATATGTCATTTGCATCAATGACGCACTGCTTACAGTGAACGGTAGAACATTGTTACCACGCGAATAGAAATAATTTTAAAAATATCCTGATTTTTATTACGCGATGTGTGAAACGGTTGAATTTAAGAATTGAATCTGCAGTATGAAAATAAAAGACAGGTGTCGTCAGTGCCCAGGGAAATATAAAATTCTATAAAGATAACGTGTTCCTAAAATTATCCGAACAAACTTGTTCAAACCTGTTTGTCATTCATGCTCAACACGCCGCCACAAACCGGGCCATATACGTACGAAACAGTCGGCCATGTTTGGAAGTGTCTGCCAAACATGGAGCCAGGGTGACCTCGCCGTGCGCCGTCAAGATGTTCCCTCCCATCGGTGAAACGATCGTTATTTTTGTCAAATCTGTGATAAAATGTTGCGACACCACGCACATGGTTCGTATTTTTCCTGTTTCAAACCTCTTTCCGCGATAACAAAATGGCGCACAACATTTAACATCTATATGTTGTTGACGCATTGTTTCAAGCATTATTTTCCACGAAATGTATATAAAACGAGAGCTTAATTGGAAGGTCCGTCTTCTCAAATTTCGCGAATCTTCGCCAAAACTTGGCAGAATAAATATCTGTCAAATACAACCCCTTATAAACGTGAAATATAAGGGATGAAAAGACGAACTTTTTTTAAATAATAAAAAATGTGCACGGTTTCTTGGCATATCCGAAAACACGAACAAGAAACACACGACATAATTACCAGCATTTGATGAAAAACATCGTTAAACTTCACTGAGGTCAACTGGTATGTCGGTCAAGAATCGAACCGGGCATCTTCGGAACACGAAGCGAAAGGTCGTCCCAGGACGCTCTGTTTTTTAAAAAAATGAGAACACGCTACGGCGTTGGCTTAGGATCTAATCGAATGGCACGCCATTGTGACCTCGGTTATGGACCTTCGTGGCCTTCTACAAACACGGGAGTGTCTTCATCACCAGCTCACATAAAACACTGATGAATACAGTTCATTAGTTACGTATTCGTTGGCCTAATTGGTTATTTAATCAGTTAAGGCGTGAATATTATAAGTTATTTACATATTTAATTAATTACTTCTGCGTTTTATTTATATTCTCTATGCCATTAAACATTATATATTTTGAACATATTTAATATAAAATCTGTATCAATATGTAGTCGCGGGATAAAGCAGGTACTTTCGTATTACGCCTGTCTTTCCCCGATATCCTTGGAGACGACTGGCCGGGGACTCGTTCGTGTTACTGGGGACCAACCTTGAATTTCTCACTGCAGGCAGAACCACTCCGGGATTCAAGAGAGAGCCAAGGCACCGGACTCTCAATGAACGTATTTAGAAATGCACGCACGATGGCAATGTTTTTGTAAATTTCTCAGCCCATGTTCATTTCACATGGCCACATTTTCGAATTTGCAGTTCAGGGAACTGGAAATTCTTCCCAGACTCCATCATAATTTGTAGTGACTACGTAAAGCCAAGAGTTCTGAACTGTATTCGAACAAGACATCTATTATGACGTCACCTCTTGGACTGGTAGTTCCAATCTGGCCACTTGCCTCAATAACACATGAATAAACTTTCTTTCATGAGAACATTTGCATATGGCGAAGAAGTTTCCTGACGCACTTAAGGCATTGTCTGTGTAACCCATAGCAACGACCCAAAGGGCAGTTGGACGGTCGATGAGAATAAGAAGCGATAATGCATTTCTCTTTTTGCGTAAACTGATACTTGAAATGATGAAGCGACGTGTTTTTCTTTGCAGTAGGAACTGAATTATTAAATATTATCTATTGGACAGTGCAAACGAGGTTCGTATCTGTGTTGCGTAATAACGAAGGCAAACAATGTTGCAATGCCAGATGGTGAGTCAGCACGGAACATCTCCTATCTCTTTGCACAGATAATCGATTGCCACGTACACACCCTTTCATCGTGTTACCTAGTGATAAATGTTCTCAAGGGCCCGAGAAAACTTTGACCCTATTCAAATATCGATTCTCACAGCGGAAAAAAAAATTAACCTTAAAAGAGGAAAATATTTATGTAACGACTAAAACGAGTTTCATTCAAATACGTGGAGCCGTTAATTTTTACCGGTTTTAGTAAACAAACCGCTGTTCGTTACCCGGTTTATAATAAGAAACCTGCCAAAGAACGATGAGATACTGTAGAAAACAAGTCCATCATTTCATACACTCCGTAAAAAGTACGCGTACGTGGAAGACTTCACGATAATAGAACAATTCTGAAGAGAATCTGCCAATTTTGTTGCGTGATACTCGCCGTGACTCAACGGCAACTTCTCCGACGCTACAATTATGCGTGAAATCTAATCGATGATTTGCAGGCGCGAACGTATATCAATTCAGCACAAGTTTCTTTCCTCTTGTCCTATCAGCCCTAATCCCTTTACCGAGTGTTGTTAAAACTGTGAAGAGCTGATAAAAGTTTAGCGAAGTTTAAAAATATTGTATTTGTCAGTTACAAAGTTAACAATTTTAATCAGACAACTGACGGATTTGTCTAGATACGGGCGATATCAGACACAAATCCCCATCCAGAATTATGAAGATAAGCTGTTTTAATGGAAAAGTTCAGAGGCTTTGTGTTTCAAGGAAATAATTGAATGCATGGACATTGTTACGAAACGTTTCCTGAAAAGTAAGTCAACAATGGAATAAAGATTGCACGCAAACAGTGACATACGAAATTTAAATTTTACCTTCATTATTGAAAACCATGTACGTAGTTACGTCATGAACTTGCTGTTGATAAAAATTATGCTCTCCTCGTACACAAAAAGACGAGCCTAGGGAATCAAACAAGAACCAAAACCATTATTCGTGCCGTTTAATGTTGACTCAACGGGGATGGGTGTATTTTTAAGCGGGATTATCTGGAGATCTTCTTATATTCAGCAACAC